TGATCCATGTCTATATACGAATCTTGGGGTAAGATTTAGACATGAATTTCAACTAAAAAATCGGTGTTGAGATTTTAATGCCAGACTATTCTAGAGGGAAAACCATGGACAAAAAGCCCAACCTCGTAAAAATCGGATGAGATTTGGCCGAGTTATGGGGTTGGTAAATTTTGACCCATGTCTATATACGAATCTTGGGGTAAGATTTAGACATGAATTTCGACTAAAAAATCGGTGTTGAGATTTTAATGCCAGATTATTCTAGAGGGAAACCCATCAACAAAAAGCCCAACCTCGTAAAAATCGGTTGAGTTTTGGCCGAGTTATGGGGGTGGTAAATTTTGACCCATGTCTATATACGAATCTTGGGGTAAGATTTAAACATGAATTTCGACTAAAAAATCGGTGTTGAGATTTTAATGCCAGATCATTCTAGAGGGAAACCCATGAACAAAAAGCCCAACCTCGTAAAAATCGGTTGAGTTTTGGCCGAGTTATGGGGGTGGTAAATTTTGACCCATGTCTATATACGAATCTTGGGGTAAGATTTAGACATGAATTTCGACTAAAAAATCGGTGTTGAGATTTTAATGCCAGATTATTCTAGAGGGAAAACCATGAACAAAAAGCCCAACCTCGTAAAAATCGGTTGAGATTTGGCCGAGTTATGGGGTTGGTAAATTTTGATCCATGTCTATATACGAATCTTGGGGTAAGATTTAGACATGAATTTCAACTAAAAAATCGGTGTTGAGATTTTAATGCCAGATTATTCTAGAGGGAAAACCATGGACAAAAAGCCCAACCTCGTAAAAATCGGATGAGATTTGGCCGAGTTATGGGGTTGGTAAATTTTGACCCATGTCTATATACGAATCTTGGGGTAAGATTTAGACATGAATTTCGACTAAAAAATCGGTGTTGAGATTTTAATGCCAGATTATTCTAGAGGGAAACCCATGAACAAAAAGCCCAACCTCGTAAAAATCGGTTGAGTTTTGGCCGAGTTATGGGGGTGGTAAATTTTGACCCATGTCTATATACGAATCTTGGGGTAAGATTTAGACATGAATTTCGACTAAAAAATGGGTGTTGAGATTTTAATGCCAGATTATTCTAGAGGGAAAACCATGGACAAAAAGCCCAACCTCGTAAAATTCGGATGAGATTTGGCCGAGTTATGGGGTTGGTAAATTTTGACCCATGTTTATATACGAATCTTGGGGTAAGATTTAGACATGAATTTCGACTAAAAAATCGGTGTTGAGATTTTAATGCCAGATTATTCTAGAGGGAAAACCATGAACAAAAAGCCCAACCTCGTAAAAATCAGATGAGATTTGGCCGAGTTATGGGGTTGGTAAATTTTGACCCATGTCTATATACGAATCTTGGGGCAAGAATTAGACATGAATTTCGACTAAAAAATCGGTGTTGAGATTTTAATGCCAGATTATTCTAGAGGGAAAACCATGAACAAAAAGCCCAACCTCGTAAAAATCGGTTGAGATTTGGCCGAGTTATGGGGTTGGTAAATTTTGATCCATGTCTATATACGAATCTTGGGGTAAGATTTAGACATGAATTTCGACTAAAAAATCGGTGTTGAGATTTTAATGCCAGATTATTCTAGAGGGAAAACCATGAACTAAACGCCCAACCTCGTAAAAATCGGTTGAGTCTTGGCCGAGTTATGGGGTTGGTAAATTTTGACCCATGTCTATATACGAATCTTGGGGTAAGACTTAGACATGAATTTCGACTAAGAAATCGGTGTTGAGATTTTAATGCCAGATTATTTTAGAGGGAAAACCATGAACAAAAAGCCCAACCTCGTAAAAATCGGTTGAGATCTGGCCGAGTTATGGGGTGGGTAAATTTTGACCCATGTCTATATACGAATCTTGGGGTAAGATGTAGACATGAATTTTGACTAAAAAATCGGTGTTCAGATATTAATGGCAGATTATTTTAGAGGGAAAACCATGAACAAAAAGCCCAACCTCGTAAAAATCGGATGAGATTTGGCCGAGTTATGGGGTGGGAAATTTTTACCTAAATTTAATATTAATTTAAGTAAGTAAATATAATAAATGAATAAAGTATTAAAAAGGTATTAATATTTTGAATAATACTAATAAAATAAACAATTCTATTGAATTCATGAAATTTACCTATAACGGCGCTATTTAAGACATCTCTATTCATTTATCTATCTATTTATCTATATATATATCTCTATTTATCTCTCATTTTTTATATATCTCACCTGTTCGTGTTTTTACTCGCTCTCTGAGCCTTGCTATATATCTTGTTATGTTTGACATATATATTGCCTTTCTATGCGATTTTCATGAATTTAAGTGACGCCTTTATAGCACTCTATGAAATAACTAAGTAAAAGTAAGAAAAATTGAAAAATTTCGAAACTGAGAAGGTGGTATAATAGAGAGATCTTAGAGATTGGACGTTTATGTAGATATTATACATATATAAGGTAGATTACTCTACGTATTCTAAGCAACTTTCACGCGTCACGCGAATCTGTGTTGAGTTAACTTAAGCTATTCAATGTATTAATCAATTTCAAACTTATCGATATCCAAAGTCATGATGTGACATCTGCTTGATGATCAACTAGCAAAATGATTGGGTTTATTTGAGAAACTTTTCAGGTTCGCTTAGATAACAAGTGACAAATTAACTCGTAGTAGCTCAGCTCACAGCTGCCTGTTATTGTTGCTGATGGGGAAACAATTTCTAGCGCCGGGCAATCTAATGAATTGATGAACATTTTGCTTTAACAAATTTCTAGTTGCAATCGAGCCCGGCGGAAAGTGTCAACCAACTGGCGGCGACAACAGCTGCCCGCCCGGAATGAATTATAGGAACAGCAGAGGAAACTTTTGCATTATTTTATGAAATTTTTGTTAAACAAATTTGTTGCTCGTCGCAGTTGTTGCTCTTCCCGTTGTTGTCGTTGTTGCTGTTGTGCTTAAGTGTAAACAGTGAAGACCCGACTTGTTACACTCATTCCTCCGCTCAAAGCCACGTTGAAAGTTGCGCAGTTTCTGTCACATGCGTCCCGGGCAACACACACCTGAACAGAGACTACGGCCCGTCGGGATTGATGGGATGGGGGGTATATGTATATGTTATTGGGCAGATAGAAGCATTTTTGCTCCCCGCAAGTCCTGCTGTAAGTATGGTATTATAACTTTTTTTCACGGCATAATTTATGCGCACTTTATGCAAATTTTTTCTATAAACCAACGATGCCTGAGAGCCACACGCTGCTGAAAGGATGTGTGTGGCTTGTTGCTGTTGTTGGTGAATAGCAAACTGTAAGCGGGCTTTGCTTTTAAAGCGAGAGTTATTCAGTGAAACTCTATGTAAACGCTCGTAATTATACATTTTTGTGTTCAGCGTAAAAGTTTTTGCGCTCAGGTTGAGCTTGGCTCCCACAGGTTCACCTCCGCCTCCGAACTTCCATATCAAGCTGCTGTGGCACTGGCACTGGCGCTTAATTTTAATGAAAAAAGTTGGGCAGCTGGCGCGTGCCAGCAAGTTCTAATTGATTTTCAGATTGATATGCAAAACAGCGTGTCCAGAAATTCTGCCTCCTACCTCCCTGCCGGCGTACAGCTCATCCAGCCACGTTGACAGAAAAGTTTGCTTTGCCCCGCCTCCGCCTCCGCCAATGGCCATATAAATTTTCAATTAAAATGCCTACGAAATGCTAATGATCATTTGATATGCAACTCATTTGCAATTTATTTGTGCGTTTTTGTATGTTTTGTTGTTGTTGTTGCTGCTATTATTCTCCGTTTTTGGGATTTTGACAATTTATTGCCAGTGCGATTATTTATATACATGCGACTACGTAAAAGTATACTATTCGCCTGAATTGGGCATAAGGCTTTAATTTATTCATTTTTAAGCATCGAATAGTTAGCATTAAAAATAACTAAAAACTCGAAGCGAAGTGCTCGATTAGGGGCTGAGTCTATCGTATAAGATATAGAATGCATCGCTTTCTATACAAAAAAATCGCCTTATACCGCTTTGCTTGTCCGTGTAAGCTACCAAATAATAATTTATATATTAAATAGTCAGTTTAATACTGTGAATATAAGGCAGAGATGTCCTACTCTATATACACATTTATACTTAAATAGAAATGGGTCTGGAATTGCCAAATAAGTGGGTACGACACCTGTCTTTCAGCTCTTGACATATGTAATATTTAAAACTTTCATAAATATAATATAATACTTTTAGTTTGTATAAGGAAAAGTTGCCTGTATGTACTTTTTCTGAGCTATCGACATATTTTATTTAAACGTTTTGCCTTTTAAATGCTTTGCGTTAAAGCGTTCTTTAAAAAACAGTTTTCATAGTAAATGGCAAATGGTTCCCTGGTCTGTGCTTTGTTCGCGCAGTTCTATAAAAAGTTTCGCTACGCTTTTCCATAGTGCTGGAAACGTGCCGGAAAACTATCCGTTGTTGCTGCTGCTATTTGCACCAGCTGCACTTTAACTAAACTCTAATGCAAAATTCATGGCCAAGCGGCACAAATAACCATGACAGAGACTTGTCTGCATTTAATATGCAGCTCGGACGATGGGCGATGAGTAGGACCACAACAACGCGTAGCGTCCAGCTGGCCAAGTGGATAGCTCCAATTGGACGCGGAGCGCGCGCGCGTTTTATGCAGTGTTGATGGGGTGAACCGTTAAAGTGAGCAATGGCTGTCTGTGCCGCCATTTTGTTTGTGATTGATAATGATGGGCGCCGGGCAGAGTTATGGTCTCCTTTTGTATAAATGTGTATGTATGTATGTATGCGTGTATTGTTGTGGAAAACTAACCGCAAATTAGCTTATTTGGCATTTTTACAGTCATTTCATTTAATTTACACAAACAAATTTGCGCCTGGGCAGACAACGGCTCTGGCCTGGCCCCAGACAATGGGCGAGCCAACGAAGCGCGCCGCCAGCCCCATAAAAGTAATGAAGCTGTTTAGGCGTCTCTAAGTAGTCGTCGGTAGTCAGGAACGACACAAACGACACAAACGACAGCGCAAGCGAACCGAGTAGGACGACGCCCGGCTTCAACTGCGACTGCCTCACGTCTTCTGGCAGGGTTCTGGCTGTGACTTAGCCTTAGTTTCATTCAAAATTCATGAAGTTGGCCCAAAGTTGGCGCCGTATCGATGGCAGTGTGTGCGTGTGTGTGGGTGTATTTGCCGGTTAGGTGTTGTGCTTCTCAGTTAAGGCTTATTGTTTTGTTGGGGCGTTGAAAGCAGTGCAATTACCTCAAGCTTCAATGCAGACAATTGCCCAAAAATGCCCCCCTCCCAACTCCAAGCTGCCTTCATTTATTGGCTCTTGAGTGGCGTTTAGTAATATGGGCGATGTGCAGCTCTAGACTTCTCCGATTGCAGCTATTCAAGCGTTTCCTTCTTTTCGCTCTCCATCAATTCCAATTAGCGTGTCTGGCTAATAGCTAAATGCAGCCGTTTATCACACAAAACTCGGCAAAGCAAAGCCATGATTTGCATACATTTTGACAAAAGCCATTATTCTCCGGAAAAAATGTACTCCATGTGTGTAGGTTTAAAAAGTTAGTTTAAATGCATATCATATTCAAATTCAATCCACAACCTGCGGCGGAAAATGAGTGGATTAAGTGAAATGAAAGAAATTTTAGAGAAACCCTTTATAAAGCTTGGTAATACCTGCTTGTTATACTTGTACATAAACTTATATGAACCTTTTAAAGGTATTTTATTTGTGTACAGCTTTTTTTGATTGCTTCTGAATGTTTTTATTTTTTTTGAACAGCTCTCAATTTATTGTTGATGGGCAAACGTAAACAGAGTTGCTGTCGTTTGCCTTGCTGCTTTCGTAAATGTCTTGCCGTCGCCAACTTCTTTTTAATAAAATCCATTTTCATACGTAATTTAGCCTAAGGGGGTCGACTTTGTCGGGCGGTCGACTCCGAGTCGCACACTGCGAATGATTTCCTGCAACGCCCAAGACAAAGCCGCACCACGTCGTTGACGACGACATTGCTTTGTGTCTGGCCATAATTTTGACAAGGCATGACTGGGGCAGCTCCTTGGGTGCAGGAGAAGGAATCTAACGCAGGCTCAGGGCTGGCAGGGCAACCGATTCGGGGCGAGCCCATCGAGCGACTTGCCGCAAAGTTAAGCAAAACTTTGTTATTTGTTTTAAGTGGCAGGTTGTGCGGCGCACGCTCCAAGGACTGTCTTCTATCTTTAGTTGCCGATTGCAGGTTGCTTCCCTCGTTTTGCTCAACAGTTCATAAAGTTAATTTTGCCACAGAAATTATGTTAAAACGATATATGGTAGCCAAAAATGTTGGCACTGCCTGTGCCTGTGTCTAGGCTAAATCCCTCGCAGCTATATGAGAACTGCAACAGAAGTTATTGAAATGGCAGTCGGTAGTCAGGTTAAGGAACTTTGGAACTTTTGCAACCCGGCAACACTGCGTATGCGTAATTAGTGGCTTGGGTCTCAGGTAGTTTGCCAATAGTTGGTGGCCTATAACTTTTCTTCTTTTTATTTTTTTTTTCTTTTCGGTTATTTATGAAAATTAAAGAGCCATAGAGACAGACAGGGAGTCAGCTGGTGAGCGACAGGCTGTGGCTGGCTTATTGAACTGTCAGCGTTAAGCCATATAAATTGCGCATACGACACGAGGCGCGACTCCGGCTGGCGAAATGGCAAAACTATTTGCGAAAGTTCAGTGAAATCAAAGCGCAGAGCGCAATCAGCGCATATAGTCAAGAACTTTTGATTATAACAAATGCTTTAGGGCAGACAGAATCCGCACAGAGATTGTATGTGTGTGTGCGTGTGTGTGTGTGTGTGTGTGTGTGTGTGTGTGTGTGTGTATACATTTATATGGAGTGTGGGAATTGAGAGCAAGCGAGCAAAAATGACATTTGATAATAAATCTTTTGGTCAGTGCTTTGTGCTTGCCATTAAGAATGTGTCGGGGGACTTGGCCAACAATAAAAACCCAAATGCGGCACAAAATGTAATTTCTGCTTGGCACGAAAACTTTGACCAGCACCAGAGCTGGCTGAGTGTCAAACTCGTATCTCTAGCTGGTTTCTATTGCGTAGACCCCATTTTATTTTGTTTGTAATACCTAGTTAGTGCTTCTTAATTTTAAGCCAGCTTGATTTGAAGACGAAAGCAATTCAAAAAACAGCCAGGTCTGAACCACATTTATTTGGAAAAAAATAAGAAACAATATAAAAATGAAGGAAACTCCAGTCCACTAAGCAACAATAACTCGAATAATGGCCACGGACTGGTGTATTAAAATCTAGACATAGTTCAGTTTCCATTTTATTTCTTACTTCAGCATAAATGTAGGTAAGCAGAATGATTCTTTAAAAACTTGAAATCGAATTGATTCATTTAAAATTGTAAGCAGTGTGATCAATAGCCGAACCAACGATAATTTATTAGCCCTGCTTAAGCCAAATAAATAGATGTATATATATAAATTTATTGAAATTTTTATGGCAGTTGCCCACAATAAGGGCATAAAATCTTCAGCGTTCCTTTCGTACACCCTATTCGATCGTTTGCTTTATTACTTTCAATAAATATGAAGAAAAAAAAATGAAAAGAAAGTAACTTCCGCTGGCATAACTGGACTCGGGTGCAGTTCCAGTCAATGAAAAAGTTTTCAAGAGCCAACGGCAGACACTTTTCATTAGCAAAAGTCCCTCTTTTGGTCGAGGATACAAGCAAAGTTTTCAGGAACTTTTTCCTACAAGCATTCCCTTTCCTTCTCTTTCCTATCTCCCTTCTTTTTTTTTTGTTTCTGCCGCTCTCTGCATGTGACAGACATTCCACAAGTATACACAAGTAATGCTGTAATGGCATATGTTTTGTCAGGAATTGCTGTAGTGGACTTCTTTTGGGAACTTTGCACTAACAAACAGTTTTGTCCGCTTCTGCTATGTTTTCAGACTTGGCAAGCCTTTAAGCTAGCGTTACAAACAGGAACAACGGTAAGTGTCAAAAATGCTTACAACTTGAAGTCGAGCGAGTGAGTGAATGACATTTGCCGGAGCGCCTAATTGTAGGCAATTAATTTGTGGCACATCAAAGCAAAGAAAAGGACCCCAAGCCAGGAAAAGTAAACAGTAAGAGACAAAGCAAATGCAGCTGGTGTCCATTTTAGGTGGTTGTTTCCGGCACCGCGACGAGGAAGCGTAGACCGTGGAGCGTGGCAAACCGCACCTTTTAACCCTTTGCCTTTGCCACACGCCATTTGTTTCCCCAACTGTGGGGGTTGGACAACGACTGAGACAGAGACAGAGTCAGAGACACCCAAAAGGCAGCACATGCAGCTCTCTAATATGCTTGGCAAACAGAGAATCCGTTTTACTTGACGCCAGCCCACTCCAGTGGCTGGTCCGAAAAGCAATTTGCCTAACATTGCCAGGGCGTTAAGTAATAATGACCCCAAAAAGTAGCAAAGCATATTGGCTGGCCACGCTGGCGTATATGCAATGTCTATGTGAACATTATTTTTTCCAACCGTTCGGTTTTGGCTTTCGGTTTGGGTTTGGGTTTTCAGTTCTCTGCTCCTCTGAAAGTTATGCTCCTGTGCTGAGGTCAAATAAAATATTTATGAATTGCAGGCAATGCGAGGCGGCTTAATTGCATTAGAGAGATGTGTTCCTCGATAAGCCCAAAGGAAAGTAGTCATGTGACCCTGGCAGGGTGTCCTTTTTCGACAACGTGAGTACGCGGTGGGGCGGCGGCAGCGGCAATTGGATCGGCTTTTTGGGTAATTGTGGCTACAGGGCAAAAGGCATTACAAGTGTAGAGACCAGCCTGGTACCCAGCTGCCAAATATATGTGTGTGTGTGTGTGTGTGTGTGTATGTGATGGGCGGAAGTGTTGAGGAGTTGGGCGAGGTTGTGGTTGCTATTTCGCTTCTGGGGGCACTTGCGGCGAAAATTTGCGAAATCAATCGTGTGGAAATTGTACAAAATGGCTTTTCCAACAGTAAATCACGAAGAAGGGGAAAACCAAGAAGACACTAACACACAGAGAGAGAGAGAGAGCTAGCAATGACAAAGGTTGAGGCGTAGAGAAATTTTGATGAAAAATAAAGCAAATGGCATTAGAGCAGACAACGAGCATATAGAATTACATGGCACTACACGATAGACTACAAGATACCCTGTAAAATGGGCAATTCGAGTGAGCTAAAACTCCAATTTGTTTAAATGTTTAAAATATTTTAAAAGCAAATTTCTTTAACTTTGATCCATGTAATAATTTTTTCCAGGCAAAAATCTGATTATTTTTGTAGAATAATATGAATGAGGTAAGGCAACAAAACAGAAGAAAGAAGTTATTGATTAATATTATAAAAATCAAATAGTTCTCAGTTTTATTACGATTAAAGCTACGTTCAAAGTCGGCTTAAGAAACACTTTAACTACCATTGAGGTAGTTTAGAAACTGTGTTAACATAACAAAGCCTATGTGATGGCAAAAAGGGCAGTCCTTTTTTCAACAACAACTAAACATTATGAAAAGGGCAATAAAATTGTCTGCTATTGCACTAAAGAGCACAAAATAACCTAGGCATATTGGAAATAGGGATGCTATTGATGATAAATAATATCAAATTCGGGAGAATTTTTATTACAATTCAGGCTTCAACTGCTTGGAAGCATGACTAGCACATAGGGTGGCAAAACGTTATTCCTTTTTTTTTTTTTTTTTAAATTAGCCCAGCTTTATGTAATAAAAGGATTCCTAGAAAAGTATTACGTTTATTTTTCTGTCATCTACATTCTCAATTCTCTTTTCACTTTGCTCTACTCTCGGCTTTTCAATAGACTTTGGCAGCTTATTTTTATTTATTTGCTCTTCACTTTTCATTGTTATTTTTGCCATTAAATTCTATTTCAACACATTCACATGCAAATCGCAGTAGACTTTCTCTCTATCTCTCTCTTTGTCTCAATCAGAAGATATATGCTGTCTCTCTCTTACTCGTTGGCTCTGTCTCTTTCCTGCTTCATATCTGAGCGCGTTAATGTGCTCAATTGTTTGTCTGCCTCGTGCCGAACTGAACATGTAAATGTTTGGGACTTCAACACACTTTCTTGCCCTTCGCCCCGCATTCCGCGCCCGCATCCGCATCAGCTCATCGGGTTTATTGTCAACGGCACAGCGCAGTGAAAATTAATCAAAAAAACTTTTACCAACAACATTTTCAATTGACAATTTAAACTTTTATCTCGCAAGACATTTTACATAAAAGTTTTGTGTTAAAAATTTTGCTCAACTAAAAATGAAAAATGTTGCCCGCTTCTACTCAATGGGCTCTAGCAAGGATTCGCCGGAGTCGAAGCACTCGCTCCAGTAGGCATCTCATAAGCTATCAAAACTTTTGACGCTTAACTTAGAAGGCAGCAACAGCACGAGGAGAGGCGGCGCAGCTAGGCAGAGGCTGTTCCTTTGTGCCTTGTACTCTCGTTATTATTGTTGATGATAGCTGCGTGAGCAACGCACCACTTGGGCGGGACCTGGCGGGCCTGTTGTCGTCTTGCTCGAGGGCTGCTGCTGGCCACCCCTTTTTTCATAGTGCGTGGAAATTGGTAGCATAAAGGCAAGGCAATGAAGCCCTAACAAGCTTAGGCAATTTCCTCACACGCACCTCAGCTAGGTTTATGCGTGCTAAAATCAAGATTCAGTTCAGAAGGTGTCTGAAAAATTAGGCTTTTCCTTTATTATTATTGTTATGTTTATTATAGATATATATGTTGATTTTATTAAAATTAGTTTTATAGTTTTGTTATTATTTTTTATTATTATTATTATTTTAATTATTATTCTTATAACTCTAACTTCTATAACGTTTCAGAGTATACTCTTTTCTTGCCTAGAATTTGAGATCTGAAGGCTTATGCTAAGTTATCTGAATGACCGGGACTTAGACAAAGCATCTAAAAACCACTGCACTTGCATAATTTATAATATTGTTGTATTATTAATAATAATTAAATACGTATTTATCAAACTTTGAAATAGTTTCTGTGCAAGTGTAAGATGCATTTTCTTATGGGCTGGGCACCTTGTATTAATTTTTAGTATCAAATGAATTATTTATATATTTAGAAACTACTTAGCTAACTTCACATTTAAGTTGCTTTTATCTATCATGACTTTCTGATTTCCCTTCTATAGATCATTTCTAATTTAAACATCTCTTTTAACTACTCTCACTTGTGATTTAATTATTCCGCCCATCAGCTACACAACAAGTTTTTTTTTATAGCTCGTACCACATCTGAGCAGGTACTACTTATGTCTTTTACGTCTGTCACTTAAAGCAAACACTTTTCCTGATTTGTTGCCACGCATAAACCTCTTAACTGGCATATAACTACACAAACAAAAATTATTTTCCTGCTCAACGTATTTATTTACATTTTACAAGGCAGCACAAAACATACATAAGCACGAGGCCAAGGCAGGGGCGAAGGCAGGAGACACCAAGAGGAGTCATGAAACATGACAACAAGGCGCAAAATTATGCACAAAGTTGCCATTTTCTATCTGTGCGTGAGTGTGTGCGTGTGTGTGAGTGTGTGTAAATCCCAGCAGCATAGCTGCTGCTGCTGCTGTTGATGTGTGTGACAGCAGCAGCAATCAGCAACAAGGTGGGTTGAAAACCATCAGACAAACTCAACCAGACTCAACCAGGCACAGCCCAGACACACAGCAAAATTCAATATGGCGGCAGGGTAGCCAACTTCTGACAGATGACTGGCCCTGACTCCAACTCCCAGCTCTCAGCTTTTCCGACTCTCCTGCTCTCCTGTATCGTCATGTGTGCGGCGTGTTGGGTGTCTGTCTGCAAAGTGTAGAAATTTTGTTAGCATTTTAAATGCTCTACACACTTTCGGGCTGTTTAAGCATACTTTGAAACTATGCTAAGTATATAAATATTTTGAGGAGCTATATGATGGGATATAGGTTGAGACTAATGCAAACTTTTTCATTATATTGTTGCCAAAGCTCTTTTAACATTTAATATACATGGACTTTATAAATAACCGCAGGATTCAAAGACTTACGATGTAAATAGATGCCTCTATGTAAATAGACATTTTAAAATATAGCTAGAAATGAAGGCTTAAATTTCTCAACTGCAACGCAATATAACAAGTATTACGTATACCCTTACCTGCTTTAAGTGTGTATATGTAAGCATATGTATATTTCGCGTATACAAAACGCAGCAACGTTTACTTTACTTTGTGTATGTTTATATCTATATATGAATGTGCGTATATATTGATGTTGTCTTTTAACAAACGCAAAAATTAATAAAAAAAAAAACACACATCATTTTACGTATCGCCCCTCTATGCGATTCTCATGAATTCAACTAAGCATTACAGGTTTTCATGCGTTGATTAAAAGTGTGGTATTTAAAATTGTGTCTGTGATTTAATTAACTTGATGTATGCAGGCGCATATGCATATATATATGTCTGTGGCTTGTAAGCACCTATATTTGTGTGTATGTATATATGCAGATATGTATGTGCATATGTATGTAGGTATGTGGTTAGCAAATGCAGACCAAGGTTACTTTCCCATTTGCTACAAATTAAAAATGACGAATTTTTAAGTACTGCCTTACTAGGCGATTCTCACAAATTCAAGTGAGGCTTTGATACTATCATAAGAAGAGTTCCTTTAACAATTTGTGTTTTGCAATATAATAAACCTAATCTCCTTGTTCCAGAGGCTGTAGTTGACTCACTTATTTTTCATCGTTCTATCCCCCCTCCCCCCCTCTCTCTCTCTCTCTTTTTCTCTCTCTCATTTTACTTCTCTTTTATACATTACCTTAATCCGTTCTCTGTTTATCTTTTTCAGCAATGTGTTATATAAAACTCCGTATCCTTCCTACTAATAAAAAGCAATAAAGTATTCGTGCGTGTGGGAATTTTCGGGTAAGTTCATATTTACATATATTTTTTTGTATAAATAAGAATAAAGGCAATTTGACGAATTGAAGTTCATAAGTTCTTGGACACAAACTCTTTCCTATAGATCAGAGGTCCGTACAATTTTATCTAGACTTCTGTCAGATGTCTTAACTTATCCGCTTTAAGTGCATCTCAAAGTCAACTGACTTTGAGCACTTATCCTTGCTTCCTTTGTGTGAAACTCCCGGGCTGCTGTCATCTGTCTACTTCCATTCCTGGTTAAACTGCGAAACTGCCATAGATGCTGAGATGATGTTCTGTTGTCGTCATCATTGTCGCTGTCGCTGACGGCTTTGCTGTCGATTCCTTTTTCAGGCACTGTGTAAACATTATTTAAGATTTTGTGCTGATGCTGATTTAGTTTGATTTGGTTTCAAGCAAAGGACATTGGAGGCAACGGTTTGCCACCAATGTGGGTAGCTGTTTGCCAAGTTTTGAGCGAAAACTTTTAACATAAATTGCTTATCGCGAAAAACAAATACATTTCGTGGGAGTACGAATAAAGCCATACAATTATTTCTCATTTATGTGTATGTATATTAAAGGCGGCGAACACTGAGGAAACTTTGTGCCTTAAGAATCTAATTTACCTAACAATAATTACGAAAATGCCAAAAGAAAATTATGTATTATAATTTATGTTAATTACTCAATTACATTTGAGCCTCCTGGCATACTCCGGGCTCCCCGCTCCCAACTCCAATGCTCAATTAAAAATTCCAAACACAAATGCGCCTCATTAATAAATATGAAACGTCAATGGAGGCCTGGCCACTATCGGCTCAGGATTTGGAGTTAGAGCTGGAGTCAGCCGGCGGGCGTGCCGCAAAGATTACGCAAGAAATCAATATTCAAGTGGGCCAAACGAACGGGGTTTCACAATCTACCCCCTCCTTCAACCCCAACCCTTAAAAGCCAAGCATTCCGCTTGGAGTTTAGCTAAAAAGTGTCGCGTACTGTGGAGAGTCTGGGCCTGTCCTTAAATTTAAATAAATTACACACGTTCGACTTTCGGTTCGACCAACTTTTGGGGGTGACATTTGCGTTCTGCCTGACATACGAGAGGCTCATTTTTCAAGGGCAGCAACAATTTCTTCAACTCCGCAAGGTGAGAGCGGATTTTTGGTTTTGGGTGTGTGTCCGGGTGTGTGTGTGTGTGTGTGTATGTGTGTGTGCGTCGCTGGGCTCGGCCGCTTTGGCGCCCTCGTATAGCAATTTCCGTGCGGCGTATGTTTTTTCCTGTTCCATTTTCATGGCACTGCCATTGCCAGCCAGACCAAAAGATTAATGAGTTTTTTTGACAGCGAAAAATTAGGCAAAATGTGATTTAAGGGTTGCTCTGCCTGTGCCTCTGGCCTGCTCCCGCCGCTCCAGCTCCTGCTCCTGCTGCTGGTGTGGCCAGAGATAAGCTCGACATTCTGGAGCACCCGGAAAAGCTGTGTAGATGCAATTTATTTAACTCGTATTTGCCAAGTAGAACTCTACGAATTATCGCTCGGCCAGCATTGTTCGTGTGTGCAGCACGGCAACTATTTATTTGATGATGTATTTTTATGACCATCGAATTTATTACGAAGTTTTGCCGCTCAAATTGAAAATAAGAAAACATATGTTGAACGCAAGCCCATTAGGCCGCAAAATTTATTTATTTGGTAAATATATTATTAATTTATCTATTGCGTAGCCTTTATAAGACATCTATTGATATAGAATTCGTTTAGAGCTCTGTGATGTCATCACAATCAGTTTTGCATTGTTTGTTGATTTCCACAGGAAAGAAACACTTTAGATTTCTGGAAGAGTGTAAGGCAGGGGAAAATATTTGTATGGCTTTATAAATGTTTTCAATAGCTCATTTTTCGTCTTCGCCAAGAGCTACAATTGAGTTATCTTAAAGGCATTCTGCTTGATTCTACGAAATGAATAGATATCTATTATTTTTTCAACTTTCGGATATGGTGAAGTTTGGGAGAGTGGATAGATGAAAGGCATCATCAAATGTCTATTTACTGTTGCCTTTGAGCTTTTCACGCATCGAGCTCGACGCACACTTCCGTCATATTTTTTTTTTATTTAATTTTTATTTTGATTCCTGCCCCGATCTCTTTTTAGACGCATTTCCGTAGGCGGTAACCCGCCGACAGTTTAATGGGCGCCACTCAAAAATGTAAAATATCAAAAATAAAAGTGAACTGAACGAAATGTTTTTATAATCATTTGATTTACAAGGCCTCTTAATTTGTTGTATTCTTATTCGCAATCTGCCAATGAAATTGTTTGTCAACGCGACAATTTCTCAACGCGTTGCAAATGAAACGGAGAGAATCAGAATGTGCGCTGATGATTTAATAAGCGCAAAACGTGGCGCGGAATGCGGTGAGTGTCGATTGAAGAGTACGAACCGAACGCCCGCCATCGGATTGTGCAATTAATCAAGAGCTGAATGTTATCCATTTGCTGTGGAAATTGACTAGAAAATCAGCCGACTTGCGGCCTGGCCAAAGCCAATTCCATGCGTTTTCCATCAGCTCTGAAGCGCTCACTCAGCGCTCCCTTTTTAGTCCGGCTGCCTCGCTATATTTCTATATTTATGTAGCCTCCCCCTTCCCAGGCCAATGCCAGTTCCGATTCTTCAGTTCGTCTCGCTCCGACGGGCGGTCGCTTGCTCGTTTGCTCGATTTATGGCCGCCCCGTCTAAGTGCCTCTAGATCAAAGTGAAACAAACATATTGCAATCAATTTTTGTTGCTAATGAGCTAAATTTGATTTTATTGAGTTGTGTGCGCGCACTTGCTTCCATCAATTAGAAAGGGGTGAGCTGGGGTGGTTGGCAGGCCGCTCTGACGTATACGTTATTTCTGATGTGATCTGCAAGCCACGTTATTGTGAACCATACTCTATTGATTGAAATACATTTTTGTAATAGTTTATAAATAAATAATAGTTGTTGAGAGTAAATAGTTCGTGTAGCTATTCAAAATTTGAGCACCTGCCTTATTACGTCTAAAAACATTTACTTATGGTTTAAGAATAAATGAAGTTCGGGAACTGAATACCCGTGTGGTAGGCGGGCTCTAGAATACCTCCACAGCATGTCATCGCTTGTCGTACGAGGCGACTAATAGAGACACGTTGATGTTCCCATTCGGGACTATGAATAGATTCATGCTTGTTGTACGTGGCGAGTTGAGGCCTCCCGGATCAGTGTCAAAGATTGAGAGTCATTAAGATTGAGGTAGGCCCTTTGTGGGAAATTAACCGAACCATGTTCATACTGATATTCTTACCAGACCAAAGTACCTTGTTTCTAAGATGAGTTATGACCAAAAATCATGTTGCTACATATGGATGCCAAATTGATCTAGAGGAACCACTAACAAAGGGCGAAATTTATGAAAATCTGCTGAAATTTGACTAAGCTATGAGGGTGGGAAATGTTGACCTATGAATTTTGACCAAAAATAATGTTGCCTGATATAACGATACATATTAAACGTGCTGAGTAATAAATTGGATTTTTCCTTCAATTTTCATTTTGCACCTTTTGCAATTTTAATATTTTCTAAAACACACATACCCATCAGCTCTCTCTCTCTCTCTCTATCTCTCTCTCTCTCTCTCTTTAGCCATTTTGGCATCCCGCTTGTTATCTCTGTGACCTTGTTTAGCGGTTTTTTCTTTAATTTAAGGCTGCGGCTCTGGCAGCTTGTAAACATGTCGGGATCCGCTTCGGGTGCTTCCTTAACTCGCCTGCGGCCGCCGTTGCTGCTGCTGCTGCTGCTGATGTTGCTACATTCTCAGCGTCCTGAAATTAATAAATTAACTTCCTTGGACCATAAATCATTTTTCGTGCCTGGCTGGGCCTGCCAACTGCGAACATTTTGCGCCATTAACCAAAGTCGTTTCTTCTTGCGGTGCTTTTCACTTACCCTTAACTGTTGGATGCCCCAAAAAAAAAAATAAAAAAAAATATAAACCGCAGCACCCAATTCAAATGCCTCGGCTGCTGCTACTTCTCCTCCTGCCCAACCCTCAACCAGCCTCATCATCATCATGCTTTATGGGAACTCGGCAGCTTGCATAATCATCGCGTTACAGCTGCTGCTCCAGCTCCTGCTCCTGCTGCTGCTTATGACGCTGCCCTGCTCCAGTTGGTAGGCCTATTTGGAGGGCTGCCAGTGAGGCCAGTGTCTGCCCACTTCCTGGCCCAATCATAATTTGTGCTTTGCATAAATTAATGGCCACCAGTTTCAGTGCCTGATTTCATTTGCTGCCTGCCTGCCCGCAGCGTAACAAAAAAAAAAAAAAAAAAAACAAACCATTATTTCGCACATAAATTGCTACATACTAGAAGACCCAGAACTTAAAGGTGCCTCGGCTACAACTGCCCCCTCTCGCTCTCGCTCTCTCTCACTCTGCCACTCCCTATTTCTGTCTCTATCGAGCTCTTACTCAAACACATCCCTTTGCTCTGTTATTTACACAGCCTTCATGTGTTTTATGGCTTGTTTTCGGGTAGCTCTCAAGATTTATGACAGGCCTGGTCTGCCTGGAAAATGGGGCTCTGCGGCTGTGGGTCTCAGCTTTAAACCCCCTTTGCCGTTGGCTTTAAGCAAAGCTCGTGCTGCTGGCATGTCTCAATAAAATCATAGAGCCCACACATGGCCTAATTGCTGGCCGTTTGTCAGTTAACCGATTTTATAAAACTGCTCATTAATGTAACAAATGTAATTGTTATTCTCTCAGCCCTGGCAAATCAATATTTACAACTTTATTATGAGTTTTGTAAGATTCATTTAACGTTCACTCACACACACAGAAATCGCCTGCCCTCCGTACAAATCGAGTTCAAATCCGATTTTCATTTGTGTCGTAAACATTTCCCGCGCTGTAAAAACTCAACGCTCATAAAGCAGACATATGAAAACTGAAATGAAAATGAAACTGAAGGCGCAATTGCTGCAG